ATATATATATATATATATATATATATATATATATATATATATATCCCTTTTATGGTGCAATCACCGGTCGTCGCGGGTAAAACCCCAACCACCGGCCACATCCGTCTCTGTCTTCTCTCTCTTCCACCTCTCTTTGATCATTGAATGGCACTAGGAGTACGGTGGAGTCGGCATTGGAAGAACATGCATGATCAAACAGTCATTCCCTTCGACGTGAAGGTTTTTCAGATTTCATTTGTACTACTTGAACCCAAACGGTGATTCCGGTGAAACAAAGTTGAAAAATCAAGATCCGGTGACGATGACGATGTATAATAGTAATATTTATACACATCATTCTTTCTTATTTTTGTTTCTATTCGATGGTCCAATCATGGCAGATAATGAGTTTTCTTATGTATAGGTTTGAATTTCTTGTAAGTTTTTTTTAATGGTTATGAATTTTTTACAGATGATTAGGATTTTATTACGAATGTATAAATTTATATGAATAAAATATTAATAATATAATCAATATTTTAATCTCTGCAAATGAGAACCTGCTAGAGTTTAATGTATTTTTTTTTTATAGATTTTAAATTTTCATTTTTTATTTTAGAAAAAATTAAAGAATCTATTAAAAATACTCTAAATTATAATATTTTATTGTAAATTTAATTTAAAAAATATTTTTGTACATAATATGTTGTTGAATATATAGAAATAATTTTCTACAAATTAATATTACATTCTTCTAACTTTGATCTAAAAACTCGTGATGCCTGATTGGTTTGAGCTTGACTATAAAGGTCAAAAGTATTAGGAGGTCCCAGGTTTAAATCTAAGAAAAAATAAAAACCCCATTGTGGCCAGGAAGGTTCAAATGCGGTGACTCCGGACGATCTACAAAGCAGGTGGTCGCACTGGGATTAGTCTGCTCGCATAGCGGGTTGGATATCCAAGTCACATACAAGTCATCAAGTAAAATATGATTGGTCAAAAATAATATATTTTCTCTTTGATCTTTAAAATTATGAGATAATCATTGTAATTTCATAAAAATGTACGAATTTAGTCCCTAAATTTGACGAGCGTTAAAAGATTCCGTTAAATGGAAAACATTTTTCTTCTTTTATGAGTTTATCGATTCTTTTGTCTTTTACCCAATCCAAACCATATGGACCAAAATAAAGAAAATCAATTTTGATTAAGTAAAAGAAAAAAATCGATAAAATGTCAAAAATACCCCTTATTTAACAAAATTATTTAACTGACCATTAAAATGAAGAAACCAAATTCAAAGATCTATACTATATTATAAAGCATTTGACAAAAAAAATTAAAACCTATTTTTTATGCATAAAATGTTGTTTATTGATGTATATTACTTAAAATTCAAGATTACAAGTAAATTGTGCATAAGTACAATTTATTAAAAAACTTTTTGTTTGAATTTGTGTAATTAACTGCAGATAAACATAATCAAATACATGATAAACATCTCATTTTCAATATGAAAAATCTAAAATACAATATTATCACTGAGTTATAACAGAATACTCAATTATTATATTTACAAAAAATATATTATTAAAACTAAATAAAATTTTAAATTACATTATAATAAAAATTATGAATTAAAGAAATTATATAAAACAAGAAATTTTAAATAGTTATTTTAATACTAATATCCATGTATTTTTTTTCTTCAAAATTTTATGATATTTTAAAATTTATATTTTATTCTTATCGATTTCTCAAAACAACATAAAACCGTATTATATCGATATAGATAAATAATAAAACAAGACATTGAAATCGAGATATGTCTCGATAAATTGCACGAGTACCATTCTAGTCTTTATAAAAGGAGACCATCTTAAACCTTAAATCCTAAACCACAATAACTATCTTGTAATTTTTTTTAATATAAAAGAAGACCATCTTATAATTTCGAAACTACATGAACATAAAATATTATTTTCAACCACAAGAATGATGTCTGATTAGTTTGAATTTGTCTTCAAAGGTCAAAAGTACCAGGAGGTCCCATGTTCAAATATAAGGAGGAATAAAAATCCACTTGTGGCTACAGAAGTTCAAATGCGGTGACTCCGAGCTATCTGCAAAACATGTAGTCGTCCTGAAATTAGTCGGCTCGCATAGCGGGTTGGATATCTAGGTTAATAATAATTAAAAAAAATATTATTTTCGGGAAAAAAAAACAAAAACCAAATTTATAAAATAAAAAATACATATAATTATCATATTTTCCAATTGAATTCAATTGTCCTACGGAAGCATTATTTGCCATGCATCCCGGAAACGACATCGTACTGGAAAATTACAAATCGTAAAACCAAAAAGTTCCATTGCCGGGAATCGAACCCGGGTCTCCTGGGTGAAAGCCAGATATCCTAACCGCTGGACGACAATGGAGTTTTGGTCTTCTTTTATTATGTTCTTCATAAATATTCATATGTGAATTTCAATTCTAATTTTGGGATGATTGTAAAAGAGACATCTTTCCCGCGCAGACTACACAGATCATTCATTCTTTCTCAATAATCCATTTACATCTGCAGCTGAAACTTTGAAAATCGCCATGGTATGTATCATTATAGTCTGTTGATTTCATCTCTGGAGGTATATCGTCAATCTATTATGGAATTAATATGTTTTGTTAGATCCACACACGGAACTACCGATTATAGTTGTAAAAATGTTGTTTAGATTGTCGATTCATATGTTTCTGTGGTAGGTTCGTAATATAAGCATTATATTTTCTTCAATTACTGATTTATGGACATGTGTGGTGTCAATTCAACGTTGAATCAATAGAATAATCGTTTAATTCCATGCCCTAGTTTTGCTTCAAGTAGAAATTCACTATGTTTGTTTGTGTGCCCTGCCGTGTTTATATCCATTTCTTTTTGTTTCTACGAACATGATGAAACTGGTGGTATGGCTTAAGAAGGGTTTGAGTAAGGGGAAAAGTTCAGTGGGTGAGTGTTAAATATCGAGCCTGAGAAGCAGTGATGGGTTTTAGAATGCTGTGTAACTGTGTTTTTGCTACTGTTGTTTACTTTTTCTGGCTTGAACATGTTTTTAGTCTTTTTAGCTTATTTAGAGTGCAAATTACACTACAATCCAATGGTCTAATTTTGTAAGGCATCAAGGTCATGAAGCAACTTGTTTTGAATGTCTGAATGAGTTCATCTGATTTGTTTTGTAGTTGTTTTTGGTTGTTGATCATCTACATCATTTGTGCATCTTATGATTATGTATATAATGCTACTGCTGCTGCTGCCGATGACAATGCTTACTACTACTACTGCTACTAGTAGCAGTATTAGTAGTAGTACCACTACTGCTATTATGATATGTTCGTTCTATGATCTGTAAGGGTTTGTCAGTTTTAATTGGGATCATGTATTGTGTTTATTTGTCATTCCCAACTTTATTTCATTTTCGTGTTGGTTTAGTCCAAGAAAAGAGGTTTGTCATTGGAAGAGAAACGGGAGAGGATGCTTCAAATCTTTTATGACTCTCAAGATTTTTACCTTGTGAGTACAGACTATCATGTACAATTCATATTTAAGATGCATTATTATTGTTATTATCAATTTATCATCATCATCTATGCGCAAAATTGCTTATTAGTATTCTTTGTAAACCAAAGTTTTCTTTGATTGATTTATTAGACAGGAGTACTTCCTTTGTTTGGTTTAATACTATTTTTTGTTAGCCACAGGTGGTTGTGATCTCCCATTGACCATCATAAATCACTAACAACAAAAGCCAACTTACAAGCATAATGCAGATTGCACCCTTTAGGTGGGGCAGGGTTATTATACCACCCTAATGTTGGTTTGCTGCTTGGGACTGAACGTTGCAATTATTGCAAAAATTTGCAAAGAATTAGAAGTAATTAATCATTTTGGGGTTTAACTTCTGGTCACTAGAACATAAGGCACTAAAAGGACACATAATGTTTTGCTGCTATTCTTTGGTAGTGTGTTGTATGTATGTTAAGGCTTTTCGTGGTGCATCAGTTCTCAAAATTCTTACCTTAACACTGTCGAAGTTGTGTCTTAAATTTAGCTCTGGTTTGTTTGAAACTTATGTTCATGCAATCATGCCTGTATATCGTCTAAAATTTTCAGCTCAAGGAACTTGAAAAGTTGGGTCCCAGAAAAGGCGTTATCAGCCAATCTGTCAAGGATGTTGTTCAAAGTCTAGTGGATGATGACTTGGTCTCAAAAGACAAGATAGGAACCTCGGTAAGAATATCTCTAGATGGGTTACTAATCATCAATGGATTTCTGTTAGGACATCGTTCCCAAGCAAAATAACGGAAAATACCTCATGTATATTATTTATGATTCATCTATTGTTGCAAATTTTTTGTTCATCTATTTTATTTATGATTCACAAGCCTGAATTGATCTCAAAATAATTCAGGTCTACTTTTGGAGTCTTCCTAGCTGTGCCGGAAATCAGGTAGAGTAGGGTTTTACTTCAAGATTAGATTACGATACAAATGATTCTGTGTTTATAGCATAAAATTATCTTGTCCAATCATCATCATCATAGATTTTTGCTTTGTTAATACATGCTTTTTTGTTCAACAGTTAAGAAATGTGTCCAAGAAACTTGAGTCAGAACTTCAAAGCAGCAAGAAGCGGCATGTAGAGCTTGTGCAGCAATGCGAGTCCCTAAAGATAGGCCGAGAGGATTCAGTAAGTCGGTGAAATGACTTATAAAAACAGAATAACAACTGATAGGGCACCTTCTATAACTAAAACTCTTTCACTTTAAACATTTAACAGGATGCACGCGAAGAGGCTTTAAGCGAGCTCAAAGCCATTCAAGAGAAGTATAACAAACTGAAAGTAGGATCACATTTCGTCCTCCTCATCTTTTTAATCACCAGACAACATTTAAGTATATGAATGCAGCTGATGATCTAAATTTCAGGATGAAATGGGACAGTATGCAGACAATGATCCAGCCACATTTGAAGCAATGAGTAATCAAATAACTACTTTGTTTTCTTATTTTCCTTAATGTTCTTTGTTTGGTGTAGAATGCCTTTGTTTTGTTGATTCAAGTCCATATATCTATTAAATTTGTTATTACATGCTGAGATTTTTATCATTGATTTCAGAGGAAGCTATTAAAGTTGCCCACGAAGCAGCTAACAGATGGACAGGTTTGACCCGTTACATGTGAAGTTCTAGTTACACGGTTACACCCTGATTATTCTTAACCCTGCCATGCAACTATCCTGCAGACAATATTTTCACTTTGCGCCAGTGGTGCTCAAACAATTTCCCTCAGGCCAAGGAACAGCTTGAACACTTGTACAATGAGGTAAATCCTAATTTCTGTAAAACCCAACTTAAATATACAAGTAAATTTACCACTTCCCGACTTAAATTTAATATCATTCCCATATCTAATACACCTTATAACTGCAAAGAGCTCATAGCCTAAAGACATAAATACAAATTGAAGTCTCTGTTAGGATTTAGGACTGCCCTTTTGGATGTCACTTACCTTTTTGTTGGGAAAAATCTCATGAAGGGTTGCATTGATGTCTTTTTGGTCTTGAAATGCTTATGCTTATCAAAACTTCAAATTTGACTTGATTACTTTTTAACATAAAAAATGATAAACTAAAATTTGTGAGAAATGTATGGGTTCTCACTTTGAGTCTGGCTTTGCATGTGATTCTCAGGTAGGGATAACAGATGATTTCGACTATCTGGAGTTACCAGCAGTAATCCCTCATAAGCAAGTTCAGGAACAGATACTAGAAGCCACACGCTAATATCATTTTCGTAAGTCGTTACATAACTGCATATTTCATTACCATAAACATGGAACTCCTCTAGTATTGTGACATCCAGAAACTAGAATCCAGATTATAGAATCGAATGCCCAGAACACCCTTTTGGCCTCCTTTTTTGGTTAGTTTATTTTTCACATGGTTTTCCCCTGAAGGTGTGAACAATTTTTAACCTCTATGTTTTTTATGTAATTCATTTCATTCAACATATTACGCAAATTTCGTTCCCTAATCACTTAACCATTTTTTAAGGGGCAGTTTGTCTCAAGAATGATATCAAATCTCCCTACATACGTGTGGTGTGCAACTTGTATGCCCATAACACTCCATGTTACCATTGCATGTGTCCAAAGCAAAGAAACACCCCACATGACTATGACTAAAGAACCCTATGTATCCATGCCTGTACACCTTTTTCCCCCCCCCCCCCCAAAAAAAAAGAAAAAAGAAATAAATTATCCATTACCGCATACCCAAAATGCGCTCTACTCTACATACATGGTTTCCTCATATTTTGAGTCAGGATATGTGGAGCCGGCATATAACTCTCCAACAGATAGCCCTCAAGGAGATTAGGGAGGTTCCAACACACACACATATATATATATAGACTTGGGATCATGTGAGATCAATGATTTTTTGTGAGACCCATAAGACCAATTTTCAACCCTTGGATTAGATCTACAATCTCAACATTCATAATCACAAAATTGCCACGAGATTTCTCAATAATCACAAAATTGCCACCGTACAATTTTAGATTATTAGCTTATAAAGTTGATCAATGAACATAAATTGGTCTCATAGGTCTCACGGAAAATCCTTGGTCTCACGTGAACCCAACCCTATATAGATGTATATGTGTGTATATATATATATATATATATATATATATAAGTGATCAGATTCGTAGAATCTCGTATCGACTAGACTTAGACTCATTCTTCTCGATATATGTTCCTTGAAGGCTTGTTCGGACAGTAATACGAGGGTTCCACATATTCTCAAACAGTATCAAAGTCAAGGTCAACTACTCTAAAGACTCGACACTCTGGGACAATTTGTACTTGTTTAGCGCACTCTCCCGTCTAGCCTCCTCTCGACATTGAACAATCTGTGTCCGTCTAGCCTCTTCTCGACATTGAACAATCTGTGTCCGTCTAGCCTTTATTTTAGAGTCCTATATCGGCTAAACTTGGACATATTCTCCTAACATATATATATATATATATATATGTGTGTGTGTGTGTGTGTGTGTGTGTTTGTGTGTGTGTGTGTCCAAGTTTAACCGATAAGGAGATTCTACGAATCTGATCACTTCTAGATGATTTTATTTAATAAGTTACAAGTAACAATTTAAATTGATAATGCTGAACAAACTAAAAAATTGACACTAGTTAGGCATCCCTTTATAGGTGCAATGGACATGTCTAGTTATTCAGTTTCATATAATCTTGTGATTTAATGCATATTTCTTTTTTGTTAGGCAAAAACCATATGTTCTATTTAAGAAAAGTTATTTGTCTTTATGGTTTGATATTTTAGACCCGCCCGATCCATAGATGGTTAAACACTTGACGATTTCTTTTGTCATTCTGAGGGTCTGTTTAATGGTGATTAGAGCATCTCCAATGAACCAACAAATCATCAAATTCGTCGGTGATTTGCCACCAACCGACCTCTAAAACCTCAATTTCTTTTGCCGGTTGTGGAATTTGAATGACAATACTGTCGTGTGGGTTTTCGAAGGGCAAAAGCCTTGACCCACCATTTTCCCCAGAAAATCATACTCAAAACTAGGGGTGCTTAAAAACCCGACCAACCCGATCAATCTAATCCAACCCAATGCGAAATAACTCAACCCGAAGCAACCCGATGTCTAATCGAGTTGTAAAATTTTCAAACCGTTGGTATTGGATTGAAATTGGGTTGCTATTATTTGAACCCAACACAACCCGATGAACCCGATATCCTTTTATTTCTTGGATTTAATATGATCGTTAAATTTCTATTAATATATACATTAGATAGTTACACTATCATGTACGCTCTTCATATACATATATTTTCATTCTATTCACATCTCTATATAACACATTCGTACATATGTTCAGTAACTGTGAACATATATATGTAAATTGAGAAAATTAATTGAATGTGATATACGTAAGAAGTATGGATAAGTTGTATCAAATGGTTGATGATAAAAAGAAATTATGAGTAGAAAAATAACACATTCAAGGTTAGAAGAATATTTTAATGTACCAAAGTATCAATACGACCAACCCATACGGGTTGGTTTGGTTTGCACTTTGGTTTGGTTTGGGTTGGGTTGGGTTAAGATTTTTCAAACCGCAAACATTGGGTTGGGTTGTTCAAATGTTTTCAACCCGATCAACCTAACCTATGAGCACCCCTACTCAAAACCCTAAATTTGGTGTTTTTTTTTTCTTTAGTTTGATTGGAATTGAGTGTTTTCTTTTTCTTTTGTTAATGGCCCCACCATATTTGACGTTCTTTTTGGTGCCAAGGTTGGAGATGCTCTTATGGGGTAATTTGTTGTTTTAGGGGCCGTTCACCAAACGCTTACTCGGGTAAGTGAACACCAAAGTCATTTTACCTTACCGGATGAATATGGTAAGGATTAAAAATCTTATCCGGTAAGAGTGAGACAATGACCAAGAGTATTATCCAGTAAGTGAGAGCGACGACTCTTACCATGGTAAGCGCTTATCGGGTAAATTGTTACATACGATACCGTTTTGGTGGACTAAAATCTTACTCGTTAAGTAAATGATAGTGTTAAGTTTACCGCCAAACGCTTACCGGGTAAGTATTTGGTAAACGACCCCTTAAGTCTTTAAAAATTCAGTAGATTTCAGTATGCGGTACACAGGATTAAAATATGACAACAAATGTTCTTTTAATAAATTATTAAATATTTATTTGATATGTTTTATTAGTAATCCTGATATGGTAAAAAAAAAGTTGAACATTTTAGCGGTAATCTTGTCATTTTAATATTTTTTTTTGTTTTATATTAAGGTTTGTTTGGTTCATATTGAAAAATGAAATTGAGAATGAAAATTAAAATGACAGAATTTTCATTCCTCCGGTACAACCAGGAATGAAATTTTGGGTTTTCGGGGGATTTTCAAAATTTTAACCAAGTAATTGATTACAAGTTTACAACATCATTGGCCTCGGCCTTTTAACGAACTTCGACCAGTTGGTTAACCAACCGACTTGTCACATAACAGTTTTTTATATATAACTCGGTTGTAACCGATCTCTTAACTATTCCTTTGGTAAAGAAAACAAACCCATCCTATTCACATCGTAAATTTTATGTTTTTTTTAAAGATGTTCCACTCGTTTAGTCTTTGACATTACAATGTAAGCCATTAAATTTATGATGAACTCATGATTTTTTATGAATATTTTTATTCGTGAAATGATGATCTTTTTGTAAACATGTTTAATTTATGATGTTATAATTTTTAGTAAACATTAAATTTACAATGTTTAAATGATAAAAATATTAAAATTAAAAGTACAATGATGTAATAGAAATTTGTTATGTTATAATAAAGTAATTTTGAAAGTACGATACTATAATAAGAAATGTCATGTCAGCACTGTCGTATATGTGGATAACCTATGTGAAGGATGGGGTGACAAAGAAACCTGATATAATGGGTAAATTTGAATTAAAATATTACTCAATGCTATAACGGGTAAATTTTTGAAAGTACGATGCTTAATAAAAAATATTTTAAAAGTATATTACTTTAATAAAAAAAACTGAAAATAAAATATTATAATAATTTATTTTGTAACAGTAGGTTGTATTTCATGCATTTTACCTGAACATGCAAAATGAATGAACCAAGTGGAGAAGTCAATGATACTTGTTTTAGGGGAGTGCTAATGGCACCCCTTTGGTAGGGGTGGTGATTGCCTTGAAAATTGTGCCAATTATTTTTTGTCATAAACATCAACTCATTTAATTATATATTTATATTTTATTAATTTTGTTTTATTTTATATATTTATATTAAAAATATATATATTATTTTATTATTTTTATGTTACTTTATTATTTTATACTTTTGATTTTATATATTACAA